TGTCCCTGGGGCGCCCCCTCTCCATCAGCACATCAAGTACCCCCCTCGATGAGGCAGCCTGGGACAGCCCCACTGACAGGACCAGGCCGCCTCATCCCGGTCACAGTCACTTGGCTCTGCCTTCTGGTTTCTGGACAGGTTTGCTGCAGATCCAGGGTCGACTGCTCCCACAGCCTGAACTGGCGATGTTGTTGCGGCTCAAAAAAGCGCAGTATTCCTCTCCTGCGGCTGGAAACCTGCAACAGCAACAAACCATAAACAACCCTGCACGGCTACTATAGCAGCTTCCCCAGCAGTGAAAATCCAGCCTGAGCAAGTCACCCCAGGTCACACTGCAAATGTAGGGGCCAGCCAGTCACTGAACTTCCATTTCTCAAATCACAGGCCCAGGCTGTAACCACAAGGCCAGTCTCTTGTTTTAAATACGGCTGGAAACCTGCAACAGCAACAAACCATAAACAACCCTGCACGGCTACTATAGCAGCTTCCCCAGCAGTGAAAATCCAGCCTGAGCAAGTCACCCCAGGTCACACTGCAAATGTAGGGGCCAGCCAGTCACTGAACTTCCATTTCTCAAATCACAGGCCCAGGCTGTAACCACAAGGCCAGTCTCTTGTTTTAAATACAAGCTGCCACATTTACTGATTTGACAAAAGAAAAGGGGACTCGCCAGTTGTTGAATTTGGTTCCATTGGCCCATTTCCAGGTCTGGTCCAGTTCCTTCCGGAGCCCGATCCAGGGGTCAAAAGGTCCTTTATTGCACACCAGGAAACCCTTTGTTCAAAACATAAAAGCCAATGTACATTAGACAGCTGCATCTCTGGGTTCTCTGCAACCTACCCAGGGTGCTAAGCAGGGGTCCAGAGGCTGGGAATTCTACACCAAGAAATGACACCCACATGCAGTGGGAAGTTTGCATGTTGTACTGATCCAGCGTAGGGGCAAAATGTCAAACAATCGGAACTTCCCAGATGATGCAAATTCTGATTTTCAACCAACTCTGATAATCAGCAGCTCTCGTCTTTCATTTAAAAGGTGAGTTTCTAGCCCCTGTAGCTGCAGAGAAAACTTAACAATGTGACCTCCGACATCTGCAACCAAACACCCTTAGAGCTGTTACCTTAAAGTCAATCATGTGGTTTTGAGCATCCCAACTCACGATTACCAAAAGTTGGGCTGGCAAAGCTGCTCCTGTCACATAAAAGGGGCTGGGAAGCATCTGGATTCTCCCACTGGGAATTCCCTGGGAGCAGAGAGTTGGTACATTAGACCACATGGCTCCAATTCCGTGCCCAGTGTGTGGGGAGGATGGAGTGTGGGTGGAGCACTCAGAGCTCCAGCTATTATGGGCTGGGGAAGTTGGACTAAATCAGTGGTCTTCAAACTTTCTAACCACAAGATCACTTTTTCAATGTAAGTGCAATGTAAGATCCACCTCAAATACAAACACCCTTGTCCCACTTCCTTCCTGCCCCTTCTCTGAGGTCCTGAGCCTGCTCCATCCCTTCTCCAATGCCTCACCCTGCTCATTCCATCCCTCTTCCTCCCTGAACCTCATTCACTTTCATCAGGCTGGGTTAGAGGCTTTTGTCTTGGGCCTTGGCGTGTGGGAGGCATTTTGGCTTAGCCTAGGACAGAGGATTGGGGTCAGTGAGGGTATGTCTGCACTACCCCGCTAGTTTGAACTAGCGGAGTAATGTAGGCATACCGCACTTGCAAATGAAGCCCGGGATTTGAATTTCCTGGGCTTCATTTGTAAGTGCGGTATGCCTACATTACCCTCCTAGTTCGAATTAGGAGGGTAGTGTAGACATACCCTGAGGGATTTAAGGGTGCAAGCTCTGGGAAGGAGTTTGGGAGCGGGGGAGTCACATCTGGGGCAGGAGGGGGGTCAGGGCTGGGACTGGGGTTCAGGAAGCAGGCTCTGGCTGGTCACCGTTTAACTAAGATACCTTCTGGGCGGTGGAGCAGTGGGATTAAGGCAGCTCACTCCTGCCTTGGCCCTACACTCCTGAAAGCAGGATTTTAAGAGGAATAAGGGATCTTTCGGAAAAGGCTTTATTTTCCGAAAGATCCCCGTCTAGACTGGTGCTTTTTGCCGGCAAAG